ACGGATATACATGCGTTGTATCGCTACGTATACTACTTATATTTACTTCTTATAATGCATACATAACATATATATATATTTTTAATATATATATATATATTATATATGTATATATAGAGTAGTTGTATTTATAATTGTATATATAGCAATAATTAATAAATATAAATATCCTGAAATCCTCGATCGTGTAATGCCAGTGTTTCTCAGTAGATCGCGTGTAAGACGACAACGTGTCGTGTTCACTATCTTAAAATTTATGTAAAACATATTCGGTGTATCTTGAGTTTCTTCGTATGATATATTGCGACTTTTTGTCATACTTTCGATCGCGATATCCGGATGCATTTCTATTATTACTCGCTTTCAGTTTTCGTGAGAATCGATAACTCGATATTTTTTTTCGCTCGTATCACGGTCCTCCCGTCCTTATGCGACGTCGCTGTGAAGAAAGGACAATGAATAATCGAATGCAGAGTGTGAATTCCAAATTTGGAGGATGAGAAAGATATTTTATGTAGTTTTTAGTATATATGTAAATAGAAATTCTGCATTTTTCCTTCGTTTTTAATATAAAGAATTATATTTATATGAAATTTCTTGAGGAAAAAGGAGAAAAAATGGTTTTTTTAAATATGAGAAATATAATTTTGCTGGTTTTTATCTGTATACATAATGGAATTTAAAAATAATTAAAATTAATTATAATATACATATATTGAATTTAAATTAAAATTATTCGTATGTGTAAAAAAGCAAAAATACTGTTAAATAAACAAATATATATATAAATTTCAAAGTTGGACTGTCTATATGCATACATAATGGAAATAATATATAAGATATGACTCTAAGTCATTTTATGAAAAAATCGATATGTAATATATCGTAATAATGTAAAAATTATGATATTAATATTTTTAAGAAATTAAATATTACGCCTATATATTTACATGCAGTTGAATAAAATATCCTTATCCTCCTAAGTTGGATAAGTTTTGCATCGCGGAGGAATGAATTGTGATAAAAAATAAGCATTCGTTAATTATGCGTTGCTGATTATTGACTTTCATATTCGAAATGTTTCGAGTATCTCACTGTCTTGCGATCTGCGAGTGTTGATTTGAATATTAATCGATCTTATATAATATATATTATCGATAGTAGCACTAGCAAAGAAATTCATATAACATAGAATATGTGTGATGTGTCAAACAAAACAAAATATAATTTTAATGTTACAATGTGCAATTAAACTTTTATCAAATTCAGATGAACAGGCTGTATATGTCCTTCAACTATTTATTTCCGATGCATAACGAAACTGTTCATAAAAGTGATGACTGATTTTTTAAAACGCCAACACCGAATATGAAAACAGTGATTTAATTTAAACTTTAATCTTTGCCACTGCGATAGAACTAAATACGATTCGATTGATTCAGTGATTCAACATACACTGAACAATTTAAATCGCGTATGTAGTTTCTCATTTATTTGCAATATTCCAAAATTTAAATTAAACTGCCATTTTGATGTTCGATGTTGTCACATTGCATTTTAAAAAATCGGTCTCATTACTTTCTGCGACATATTACATATGACGTATACACGGGATTATTAATATCTCGAAATATGAATTTATATTGGGGCGTATGTATACGGAGAGAACACACGTATACATGTTTGCCGCAATAATTTTTTTTTTTCATGCTAAGCCATTAATGATTCCGTGTGTACATTAAACTTTTCCCTCACCGATTAGGCAAGGATTAAATACATTCATCACTTTTCGCATTTCATTATATATGTACAATCGTAATGCGGGCTGAGACTATATTCGTAGTTCAGCTACTCTTAAAAGCAATAATATTCGATTCTCGTTTATTATCGCTTTATCGCAAGAATAGAAAGGCGATTGTGAAGAAAGTAACTCAAATTTCGAGGCTTCTCTCGATATATTCGCTGTTATATCATAATTTCTTCATTTGTTCGATTCCATAATTTTCTAAGATTTGCTGTAACAGTATGTTACATGATGTAAATGCACACAATTATTCGTTTATTTCGCTTCATTGTGAGAATAGAAAAACGATTATAAACGAAATAATTCAATCTTGAAATATTCTTATTGTGATGATATAATACACATATATATACGATAACTTTCTACGTTAATATAAATGTAAATGAAAACTTAAAATCAGACCGTCCTATTAGCGATAGATTTGGTGAAGATACGAGCCTTGAACTTTTGCCGGTCTCTCCAAGATAAAATGTACTCACTCGTAGTTTGCATTTAACGAGATAAACACGTCTTAAATTCAACTTTGTGTTTTAAAAGTAGTGGCGTAACTTTTCTACTGTTAAGAAGATACAAACATCTATGTAGGCAAATCGTAAAATCGATTTTTTGTTTTATATATTTTTTTTATTTTTTGATGTTTTAAAATATTCTCAAAATTTTAAATTGAAATTGAAGTAACAGAGATATAAAATTTTTCTAAAAAATGTAAAAAAGTCAAAAATATTTAAAAATAAAGACTTTATTTTAAAAGCGACTTACTGTGAAAAAAGAACTGTTCAGACAAATGATTGTTATTTTCGTCGCTTTAGGTGTATGTACCTTCTTAAACGCGGATAAGCAATATATGTTTCGAGGACCTGCAATATTAGAAACCGACAAAAGAGAAAAAATATATAATATAAAATAAAAATATAATTTCTCTTTTACGTGCGCATTATAATCACAAAAATGTCTATACAAGTTAAAATGTACAGATGTTTATTTTCATTTTTTTCTAGCTGCAAATGTGAAGCGGAAGAGGGAGGCCTCTTTTATTATTCTCCTTTAGGACCGAAATTTACGGTTACGCCACTGCGTAAAATATACACTGTCTTTGACGCGATACGTCGCTCTGCAGTCTCATGAAATTTACGATGAATCATGTAAATAAAATGGAGCAAATCAATAGCGAATTTTGTCAAATGCGCGCACTGATGTACATTTTTAAAGCTATGGTATACAAAAGTTTTTATGATGCAGAAGCATTGAACGAAAGTATCCCGATCATTGAAATATAATAGCGTTAATTTTGTCACGCTATAATAAAGCTGAGCATTTTGTTAATGAACCGATTTTATGCTATATACTCACATTTTTATGTTACTCTATGCAAGATTATTTTTAATGTACACCGGTGCATTTTATTTGAATTTGCTGTAAAATATAAGAGTTAATTTGCTTCATATTTATTTATATGACACAATATCTAGCAATCGAAAGATCGACCTCTTTACACGCAGCAACACACCTTTTTTCCTTTCCATAGTCTCATTACTCATCAACTGGTCGGGAATCTTAATGTCTATGTTTATATCGTAAAGCATTCTGCAAAAGTCGTCATCCCTTAATCGCATGTGATAATATGATTATATTAACAAATCATATAAAATTGTAGAATTAAATAATATTTCTTTAAATCTACTGATATTTAATTTCGAAATATTAAATTATTAGGTATTTGATGATATATACGTATTTTTATCTAAAATTCTTTATATGTGTAAATAGAAAGAAACAAAAAGTGGTTTGTGAATTCAATTTTTTATATTATAATTAAGACCTTTAATAGAGAATTAAAGGAGAATTTTGCGTGTTTTTAATTTTTTAAATCCATTTACTAATAAATATAACATTTTCATTTACAAATTCAAAAATCTCTCAATGACAGCGATTATGGGTAGACGAACTATTCATTTCAAGCCTAATATACATTGAGTATTAGGTTTACAAAACAGACACCCCTATCTTCTCGTAGGGTTTCAAGGGTTGGATCAGTGATTTCATAGCGAAGGATATGGAGTTTCTAGGGAAATCGGAGATGTAGGAATTCGAGCTGATACGTATATAGGGCCAGGAGAGACTGGTTACTCCCGCAGTTTGTGCCAATCGGCTATCTGTCGTCGCGGTGAACTGCATACCTCTTTCCAATGATTTACAGCGGAACCTTGACATTTTGGTCCACCGAATTCTAGCCGGCCGATTACCTAGACAAATCATATTTTTTGCGATTATCGCGATATTAACAGATTATCTTAATAAAAAATTATTCCGAACACACAAAATTAATATGTATTTACGATTCTATAAAGCTAAAAATAAGAAAAATAACGAAATTAGCTAGTACTTTATTAGTAAAAATATCGAATATTTTTTTAATCATAATTTTTTTATTTAATTTAGAAATGACTTTTTTCTTATCACATAAACGTCGAGAATCATATTATTATTTATTAATCTTCTTAATTATTAAAATTGCAAATTTTTTGACAAAGCTTTTAAAGTTCTATTAAGTTCTAAAAGTTCTATTAAGATAATATTTATTCTCTATTACAGAACAAATAATTGTGCAGAATATGATTTTGTCATCTGTTTTTTTTCCCTCAAATTTAATTTGTCAAATACTTAGAGAGAAGTTTCTAAGAATTAATTATTTAAAAACAATTGCATCTCGATATTTCTTCTGAAGAAGATTTAATTGTAAATTATCTCTAGTTCTCTTTTTTCTTTTAGAAAAATTTATTAAGAAGCATATTATTGATTTTAGAACTCTGCAGATATAACTTAACAAGAGAAACCTGAGACAGGGAGAGAAATACAAAACGTATAATCTAATCAATATATACGGAGGAAACGAAATACCGCGTCTTGAATGACAGAAACGTAAAATTTACCTCATTTTTCGTAACTCGATCCCAATCAAGTAGCATAAACTCGAGGCTGACATTGTTGAGTCCGTCTGCACCATTCGGTATATCGAAGACAAATGACTCATTAAATACCGGACTGAGTGTACGTTTTTTCACGTGCGTCTTCTTCTTAGCAATACGTTGCTGATTGTACAGAAGATAAATCTTCACGTATGGATCAGCGAGTCCGGTCACATCCATCTTAGGTAGATTTCGTGCTTTTAATACCACTACCGTTAGTCGGCTAGTGACTGGTTGCCAGCAAAGCGAGACCAGCAATTCTCCTCTTCCTTGCGACTGTATCTAAAAAAATGAGGAAAAGAAAAGAAAAATTATTCGCGCGTATAATGCAATATTTATCATAGTATTTATCTATATAGACACTCTGTCCTTAAGTATTTTTTCAATAAAAAATTTTTGATCGAGACATATAGGACCTATTTTTCGGAAACAAAAATATCAAGCTTTTTAAATAATTAAAGATTAAAAATAAGAAAACTTTATATCGAGAAAAGCTAATGACAGAATTATAAATTAATGATATAATTATATAATTATATGTTAAAAATTATAATCTTTATAATTATTTTCAATAAGAGAAGATAGTCAAAAAAGCTGTGTAAAGAAACCTCTGCTGGTTTTTTGTAAGATATATTGTATCATTAATTACTTAATTACTTTTTTATTTAATTTATTAATTATTAGTTATCTATTTTTTCGAGATATCTACCTTCAAACTTCTAGGGCATATTTTTCGACAGAGAGATATTTCCTGATTATCTGCATCTTCTAAACCGGGCACTGATGATAAAGCACACGTCAGTTCTCCAATAATATCATCGCGAGAGTATCTGTCGAAACTCAGAACGATGAAGTGTAAGCTAATTTTCTGAAATCACAATTGTTAAGAAGATTACTATCTTTCTTTTAAGAAAACAAGTTTATTATAATTACTTTAATTTATTAAAAATTGATACGCGAGAAAATGCGGTTTGAACGAATTTTAAGTGTATTTAAATGTAAGTCTACCTGAAGTTGACTCTGTGATATGCCGAAAAATGTGAAATCCTCATCGTACACTGGATCTCTAGTATTTCTGAGGACTCTAGTTTTCACGTGATGCTGTTTGTCGGGTAATAATTGCAGTTTTACGTAAGGATCACTGGTGGCATTCTGCTGGCCTCTGGCAGGTAATCCTTTGCATTTCACCACTGTCACCGCGAGCGCATTTTGTTCGCTTCGATAGCGCAGTTTAAAAACTAGCTGGCCCAAGTTATCCTTATTATTTTCTGCTGTTTGACTCTTCTCGCGCTCAACCTTTTCATTATTTTCCAGCTCAGCCTTGTCGCGCTCATTTTCTATACTCACAGCAACTTCAACGGGTGGCGTTTGTACTGGCGTACCTATATCGTTATTGCAAAGATATTGCTCAATTTCAAGTTTCTCAAAATAAAATAAAATAAAATTAATTGTAAGAAATTGTAGAAGATTGAAAAATGTTAAAGTTAGTCTTTCTTTCTAAGCAGTGAAATATTGAAAAAAGGAGATAGAAACTATTTTGAAGATATTATTTGTGCAATTCTTCTAGAATTTCTATGTAGAAAGATAAGAAAATAATTGTAATTTCATATAACAGCTCAATATAATTTAAATTGCTTTTTTTAAATTAAAGAACTTTTGTATTATTAAAGAATTTTCGAGTAACTGAACAATAATTTTGTTATAAATTTACAATATTATATTATTTACTATAACACATATTATAATAAATAATATTATTTATATTTACATAGATTATTCTGAAAGGATAATTATATCTTTCATTTACATTTTTCACTTTAATAGTAAGAATAAGAGTTCTTCACAAAACAAACATATGAAACAATCGGTACTATTTTAATCTTCTTGTGTGTGTGTGCTGTTGATGTAATAAAGCTAGATTATCCTAAAAGGATAATTAAAAAAAAGAAAGAAGAAACAGAGAATGTGTGACACCACACAGAAGCAGATATTCGTTTTGGAAACGAAACAATATCTTCAGTAAGTAGTCAATAATTTAGTCATATACCGTAGCTAATTAATTATTTTGTTATTATCTTATTATGATTGTTACCTGCGCTCTGCGGTGTTCTAGGCTGAGATGCAGGATTCGAAGACTGAGATCCGGTCGGACTCGGCGTTTGTCCGCCAGAACCGGGCGGACTTTTGGCCGGTCCCGTCGGTGATGGGCTCTTTTTCAAATAGTGGCTCGTGCTACCGGGACTTTTAACCGCCGTAGGTTTCCGGTGCGGCGGTCTGAATGCCAGGGACTTGTCGGAGCTTAGCTTGGTGTGTTCGCGACGTCGTCGGCAGAGCCACCAGGTCATCGCGACGGCGCATAATAAGAAAGCGGCGCCGAGACATAACGTCACCAGCGTCGCCGTCGAGACTGTAATCACACGTTCTTCGATTTCACCGTCGTAATTACATGAGAGATCTATCATATACGATCAGCCTCTCACGTGATGCCGTACGAGGACAATAAAAAGAAATGAGAGGAAAGAGGAAGGAGAGGCACGAATTATGTCGAGTATTATTATTGCGATTATCTTAGAGAAATGAGACCTCGCGACACGAAAATATGAAACACTGCGCTAAGAAGACGAAATTGGAATTTTTTTATATTTTTTATAGCTTTCTCGATGACTTGAGTTAATGATTAATTTCACGTATACCGATGCATGTAAAATTATAAAGCATAAAATAAAATGAAGATCAATTATTATAAACCGCTGAATGCATCGCGTGACACAACGTAGGTTAATTACTCCAATACGGAGTTTGCATAGTCGGGTTAGTCGATATTGATAGGTATGCGTGCTCCATTAAACATTCCAGTACATACCTTTCCACGATAGAATTATGCATCGAATTGATTATAACGGATTGACGATTATTATAATCGAAACACGACTCGATTTGATTACACAGTGTCAGAGAATGATAATTATCGCGTGATGCTCCAAGGAATTACGCAGTTGCAAGGGACAAGAACTAACAGCTGTCGGCGACCTCCATTCCGAACGATGTCATCGTTAGATATTGTGTCGCGAACGATGGACGAACAATTTTAGCTGATCTTTTGGATCACTGGCTCGCGCGAGATGCAACAAACGAACGAAGCTATCGGATCTGATATCGATGAATGAGCGAAAGGGATGATTTCAGAAGGGATGAAAAACGTCCGGCGATACTTACCGGGCTCGACAGGTCGAATGAGAGGCCCACCCTCCGTCACTCCACCGACCATCTTTGGCCACGCTGCTACCTGAACGCTAAAAGGATGTCTTTTTATCCGCCTTTAGATCCGGTCACAATGCACCGAACGAATATTTACGGACGACGTGCGCCCCGTCGTCCGCGGCACTCTACTTCCGATCGTCGGCCGAAATGCGCGCGGATCAATAGCCCTCCCTTGAAGCGGAGCTTGCGCGAAGAGGATGACGTGCCGCCACCGACGGTGAGGAAACCATCGACGGCATCGCCAGAAGAATGCGACGATCCGCGAGATGAAATAGGGTGGTTTCGCGAGAATTCGTAGATGCAATCCGCGCGGCTGATGCACTTGATTCGACTGATCAATTTTATAGATCGATGCAATACGGTAATTATAATTTTGCTCGATCTTTATTCAATTCACACAATTCTCAATTTTAAACAATTTTAAAAAGTAATTGTTTTCTCGCATACTTTATATAATACATGGAACGATTGATCTCGGTTTATTATGCTCGCACGTATAATATATATATTAATAAAATTTTTCGTGCAAGTATATACGGACTGAATAATTAAACATTACATTCTCCTAGATTATTTATTGTATATATATAAACCGTTTCATATAAAAATTAGCTCCAAGTATATTTTTTTATAAAAATTTTAGGATTTATTAAAGATCATTTTTAATGACTCCAATTCTGTATATTTTGCCATAACTGTTTATATACAAGTTTCAGTTTTAAATAAAATCTTTGAAATAATTTTAAAATAGAAAAATCGGCCAGAATATTCCTATATTAAAATAAAATATCAAAAAATATTTTTGTAATAATTATTATATATGTTATACATATCTAAAATGATGTAATATTTTGAGTAATATTTTTAAAAATCAAAATTAAAATAACACCATGTATTGTATCTTAATATAAATCACAATGCAAGAGAATGTTGAAGCGTAGTTTGTTGTATCAGTAAATCAATATGGAAAATAGTTTACTGTTTTGAATCTCGAATTACGGAAAGTTCAGATTAATAACTAATGTATTTACAAAGAATAAACTAACACATTTAGTCATTACGTTATAGCTAAAGCTTTGTTCAATTATTATCGATTAACAAATATTAAACCAGAATTTAAGAAAAGTAGAGAAGACATTTGTCTACAACGAGCAGAATATTAAGAACCAGTTAAAATCTATATTCGTGATCTATATTTAAATTTTACATTTATAAATCTATATGTGTATTTTATGAATAATTACCTAGTTTAATTAAAGATGTAAAAGATAAAATGATTGAGATTAATTAAATTATACTTAAAGTATAAAAATAAAAGAAGGGACATAATAAATTATTTTACATCGCGACTCATGTTATTTGTGTCATGACATTTTTGTTCAGAAGTTCTACATTTCTGGCTAACTTGAAATGACATTATAGGGAGCGTGTATATATTATAAATTGTGTGTGTATGTCGATGTGCAACTTAACTTTAAATTTTAACACGAGCTATGAACTTTACGACCAATCGAATTGTTATTCTATGATGTTCAATGGTTGACATCGACGTGACATCATGTTTTTATCGTGGCACATTCGCATTTTATTGTTAGATCCAATTTGGAAAACACGCCAAACGACGTATGTATAATGCTACAGTAATTTCGATGAGATATAATATGGATGTGTTATTTCATGTATCATTATATTTCCGCGAGTATTTGCGAAATTACGATAATATTATATATGTAACAAATTTTCGAGCAATTGCGCTAACGAGTTCCAAATTTGATTATGTAGTGAATTTTTCATATTGCCAATTTATTAATTTATCAATAAATTGCTCCGTTTCTGATAACAACTAAATTGTCTCAATAAGTTACTAATCTCATGCAAATTACAGCAATACATATGTAAATGAGTTAAGAACTTATATGAGTATAAAAAGTGTTCTTTAAAAATAATAAAATATATAAATACATACAATATACATATATACAATTAAATAAAAACTGTGCTTTACTGTATTCTTAAGTCTCTGTACTGTATTTTATCTTTTGACGTACAAATTGCGTTGCATCTTGCTCTGGATCGATGACTATTCATTGCGCAATATGACCAAAGAGAAACGATACTTTAAATTTGATTTTAATCAATTTAGATATAAATTTAAATTAAACGAGACATTATTTAGAGTCGAATACAAGACCGAAAATTAAGAAGGTAATACTTTGTTTTTTGCATAATGTAACTAGCGCTAAAATAATGTACTAGATCTAGTCACATAATGTATGAATTAAAATGAAATAATATAGAATTAAATTGCTTGTAGAAACTATTAAAAATAATTTAAAATATAAGGGTCATATATCAACGTTTTTGGCGTGGAAAATTAAATCCTGCATCGTCGTTTCGAAGAGTTTTGAGCCCTGCCAGGTTGCCTGCGCGTTTGAGAGTAAAGACGGCCCTGATGACCGCAATGTTGATGTCGACCACGTCATTCGTCGCCTGCGCAAACCGGATGGTGTATCCAGCGTATCTAACTCTTACGAGTGCTCGATATAGCACGAGCAAGCAGCGTAACACAAGGCTGCACAACGTGTTAAATCATCGGTGAATACACAACGCAAATGGAGTAATCGGAGGTACCATTCGGAAGGAGGAAAGAACAGGCGAAATAAATCGATCAATATGGGTCTTAAAGATTTCCGCATAGTGTTTGACAACCAATGGAGTACATATTATCCAGGACAAACTGTGACAGGTAACATCATCATCGACCTGGACAGCACAAAAAAAATTCGCGGTAAGTCCATGCAGCTATTAAAGATAAGTGGTTATACAATAAGATAAGTATATATGATTAAAAATGAATTATTATTAATTCTCAGAATGTAACAGGATTATGTAAGTCTTGTTTATTATAAATTTTATTTTTTTTATATTTCTATTAGTTCTATCGATGGCTTTTATTACACACTTTTTATTTTTGCATAATTTAGTTTTTGATTATTCAGAAGAATGATAGAAAGTAATCCTCGATAATCCAAAGTATTTGTTAAAAATATGTTATATATTGTATAAATTGAATTTATAGGATGTATATATTAGACGCAACTTACGAGTGGGCGTTTATTGTTGACATAATAAATATAGTTTATGACTTTCATTTACCTTTGCAGTTTGTGGTAATATTTTTCAAATATCTTTTAATATCACTAAACTACTGAATAAAACGATAAATATATACAATAATATATAATTGTTGTATTGTAGATTTTCTATTATATATATTATTTATAATTTTTATATTATTATAATCAAAAGTGCACAATATGAATAAATCGCCTACGACAACTATCATATATATGTATTACATTTGTAATCAAACTATATGTATTTGTATAAGATTTTTATTTTATTTAATTTTTTATTAAAAAAAGACAATAATTTTTAATATGATATATACAATGAAATATCTCGCATTCCATGAACGATCTTTTCTTGCAACATGTATGTTAATTATAGAACAATGACACATACACACAACATGTACACACGTATGTATACTTTCGTGTTGGTCGCCTTCGACACTTTGATTGCCTTTTAACATTGTTTTGTATTTCTAAATTTATTATATCGAATATGAAGAAATAATCTTAATAAATGTTTTAAAAGAGACTTTACGTTTGTATCTTGATTTTTTTATATTATGACGGAATAAAATCGATCTTGTACATTTGTAATAAAAGTAAAACAAATTAATGAAATAATTTAATATAAAAATTGTTGTCTTTTTTGGATCAAATTGATGAAAAAATTAAGAAAAGAAGAAATTAATAGACGTGAAGAAATTCTTCTTTTCTATATTTATAACATATCCCTTCTACACAGGTATAAGTGTGAAAATAAAGGGGGAGGCAAATACTTGTTGGACGACCGACAAACAAGAAATGGATGAGAGAGGGCAATATCGGGATGAAACTCAAACTGTTACGGGACACGAAGAATATTTCGAGACAAAATACTACTTGATTGGATCAGCCTCAGGTAAAATGAAATTGTCCCTCATATACAATGGAATCTTTCTTAATAAAAGACAAGACCAAACAAATTCTAAAACATAACATTCTCTTTCAATTTCCATTCTATTGCCTTTTATATGTTTTTTTATATTAGGAGGAGAAATTGAAATACAATCAGGAGAACACAAATTTCCGTTTACATGTTCTTTGCCAATAAATTTGCCGAGTAGTTTCGAATCCGATTTTGGATATGTTCGTTATATTGTCAAAGCTACCTTGGATCGACCTTGGAAGTTTGATCAAGATGTTAAGAGTCCTTTTACGGTCATCACTCCCTTGGATTTGAATCAAGAACACAGGGCGACTGTTTGTATCATTTTTTACATTAAATATGTTTAAATTAAATATGTATATATATAGGATTTAATTGAAATGAGAATTTGAATTTAGAAGTCTATTTTAATTCTCAATAGGTATTCTAATATTATTAATTGGCTTTTATATTATGTCAATTAAAAATAAATTTCTAAATAATTAATTTATGCAAAATTAAAATAAATTTTTATTATACCAATAACAAATATAATTGCATTTTCAGGAACCTATAAGGCAAGAAATGTCTAAGACATTTTGTTGTTTATGCTGTGGCACGCCACCTTTAACCGTAAATTTTTCATTACCAGTTCGGGGATATGTGCCCGGGCAGTCGATGCCGATAAAGATAAACGTGGAGAATTTGTCAAACGTTGTTGTAAACACCATCAAGCTCGTGCTCTGTAAGGTATGTGACAATAAATTCAGCTATTAAATTTTGGCACACTGGAGCCGAACAACGTCTCTTGATGATGTCTTAAAGCTTAAGGCGCGAATTCTTGTCAAGAAGTAATAATGTATCGTGAAGTCCAGATCGTGACCTTTCGCGCTACCACACCGCACACTGACACTAGAACGGAAGAAATTGTAGTGACGGAAATCAGCAAAGGGCCAGTCGAGGGAGGTGGAACTGCTGATTATGAGCAGCATTTGGACGTTCCGCCTCTTCCACCATCGAATCTCGCTAATTGCAATATTATCGACCTCGAATATAATTTAAAAGTTGAAGCATGTGTCGAAGGATGGTTAGTATTTTTCCCATATATTTAGTTTACTTTAATTTTTTTGTATATGCATGTATGAATTATATAATCTGTAAAATAAGTTTTTAAATAATTCATGTTCGATTAATTATTTATTTAACTAATTTATTTTTAATTTTCATATATATATATATATATCCTTCTGTTTTAGATAATTATATAATACTTTGCGATATTTTTATGCTTTGCAGGTATCATCGAAATTTATCTGCTAATACACTTATTTTCGTGGGAACAATTCCGCTCGCTACTTATCATGCTCCAAGCGCTCCGCCTAATGAAATAAATGGCGATTTTTCAACGAAGCCACCCGAAGCTGGTTTCGTAATACCTTCGGCGAATACTGCGCTGCCTCCATTACCGGAATCCAATTTATATCCAACTTTACGTAAGATCGGCATAATAATCAATATTTTTCGATATAAAGAAAAGAAAAACTGTGATTAATACACTGATATAAATAATAAGATTTATATGATAGCAAGTTTATAAGACTCCGTTGTTTTTTTCAAGTTGTGTTTTCTAAGAAATTATGACTTATTCATAGAAATAATTTCTGACAATTTATTTTTCAGCTCCGCCATCCTACGAGGAGTCATTAACTAGTGCTAGAAATCTTCGCGAACGCGGAGAATCGGAATATGTTTATGGCCTAACTAATCGTTTTGCACCTAAATACCCGGTATATAATTTTGCTCCCTTGTAATAAAAAGGGAATGAAAGATATTGCTATATTGAGATTAACTTTTTGCAAAATTCTTGGGACATATTTTGCTGCTCAGGTGATAAGAGTTCTCAAGAATGCACGTGAATTGCTAAATATTTGTATACAGTTTTAAATAGCCAATTAGTCAAACAGCATTTTTTAGGAAACATCAATTATGAAGCGCACAATTTTTTGCATATATAATCTAATGAACAAACGAGCAATGCTTCTATAGTTGGCATTTATATTTTTATACACGTATTGAGCGCAGGTTAATGGATATCGAACAAACTCTCGTCTGATTGGGTATATTTGTTATATTAATATATTTATACAAGTATATATATATACATACAAGTACGTACAATTTTGTATATGAAAGTATTGCATCATGAGACAAGGATTTCAGATTGATGATTGCATTAGTAATTTTGTGTGTAAACGCACACTTTTCAGAATATTGCTACATATAAGTGCTACATGTGTGATATACATTATAATGATGTGACGTACAATGAAATAAAAGATCGAATTCAGGAGTATTATATGCTTTATATAATTATAAATAAAAAATACATTTTTCAGATTTTATATTATTTATTTTAATGTATTTTCAAGCTAGAAAAATTAGAGCTGATGGATTAAGCGATTGTATGAAGCGAGATTTCAAGATTATCGAGATTAGGAGAATATCATTACAATGGTTTTAAATTTTTTGTCAATTGCGAATTATGTGCTTTAAGCAAATAATTTTTTTTAAATATATTTTTATATTATTATAAACAAAGGAGATATTTTGGAATTTACATATTTGAATATATTAGATATACATTTTTAAATTTTGCATTTAAGGAGTTTAACTATTTTATTAACTACACACACATCTAAATTATGAAACAATTTTAATATAATTTGTATAATTAATAGCGTATCAACTTTTATATGTGATAGCGATTGTATCTAGAAAATTGACAAGGCACGTTATTGTTTTCTGCAGAATTAATATTGTTTCCCTGTTTTGCAAAGATAATAGTTGCATCCTTATCGAGCCGAGATCAAATGCATAGTACATTGCATTTATCTTTTGTATCTTGGCAAGGCATGTTTCGATTTCGCGCTATATTTCTGCAGTTTTTCACTGTCACGCGTGGCATTATCTTAATCGAAACACGGATCTCTAGGCATTGCCTGTATATATCCTGCAAAAATTTCCAAGAACTTCTTAAGTAATGATAAGGAATTAATTACTGTAAATTTCTTACGTGAAAAATATATCTTTTAAACTTGAGAGAGGACATATATAAAAATCATGTAGGTTATAAAATTTTATATAGCCATTTATTTTAATAACATATGTATTTTATAAGAAGAGATGAATCAATATCATACTTTATCACATTTGGATTTCCTTTGTTGTTAATTACAACCATATTTTAGAATGTTATTCTTAAAAAAAAATTATTTCGAAAAGAGATCTGATTTATACGCAATTAATTATTCTTTTATCGATGTAATATAACATTATATTTTTTATTATTTCAGTATTATTTAAATAAATCTTTATGGTTAATAATAATTTTGCAAAAATATTAATAAAATTATGATATAACTAAAAAATATCAAGTAATATAATTTATTTAAAAGTCACAGGCACAATAAATGATATCTGGTATCATTTATAAAGAGATTTATAATTAAAATGTATGTTATTTAAATAATATAAACTAGAGAAAAGGATTCATTAATTATTAAATAACAACTACCATGCATATTGTTAGTATGTGAGCTTATATTTAAAAATGATCATAAATTATTGAAAGCCGCAAATTATTATTCAGCCTCATTAACTCCATGCTTTATATATATAGGTACATATATACACTCGCGACATATGATTTCATAATGTACATAATTTATATCGTTAATTATGTGTGAGATATGGAACAGTATTTGGCTTTCAACTAATGACCAACATTGCACAAATATTATCACTTGTAAAAGTACCAGTATATATCATATATAACTATAATCGAAAAAGTCTCTCCTGGAAATTTTAATTAAAAATGTTGCAAAAATAGACGTATGTGCAGAAATACCTTTTTAAATAATTAAAGCTATTTTACTTCTTCAAATGTTTTTTTTATTATATGATACATAAAATTATAAATAAAAATTTTGAATTTTGTTGCGAATATAAGTATCGTTTAAAATGGGCTTTGTAAATAATTGTTTTCAGTGTGTGTATTTCATATTTGACCAACTCTCTCTTCATGAAACAACTATATATAACCATTGAAAAATTACGAGATGTGGTACATATGTATGTAAAGTTTCTTTAAGAGACAACGCTGTCGATCTCAGTCGACTATATGCTCGGCAAGAAATATGACAATAATACGCGGTCTTGGTCGATGATATAACGATATCACTGGACAGTCTTTTCGCGACCTTGAAAGCGCGAAATGAAATATTTGTGAACCTCGTGATTTGACTTTTTACGGATGTTCAATCAACGAAACAAACACGTGGCGGAATTCGAGGATTTCGCCGATGTATTCTTGTATCACAATCGAACAAATCATCACATGTGATTATTACACGTTATTACATTATAATGATCCTTTTGCATTTACGATGTTACCACGACGTCACATGCTTATACGTAACGATTTTCTACATTGTTGATGACCTAGCTGATGTTTTGCTCGACGGACAAATTGATTGCAATCGTGTGATTGTGCGCGACATTGTTATATATCGCGTATTATTGGCGGCAATATTTAGATGAATCATTCTCGCGGTTGACGGCAATATATTCTATATTGACTACTATACTTTGCAGGCATATACTTATGTTGTCAATTACGTAAGCAGAGCGACGGTAAACGTCGACATAGACCTTTCTGATAAGTCGTAGCTCATAACTTTATTACGAAGTAACTACTGGAATTTTGACTCTCCAATATATGACGTCCTTTGCGATAAAATAATGAGGTGAAATTACGAGAACTTTGAGGAAGGATGGCAGAACTTTGTTAAAGCTTTGGAAATTTTTCGTCACAGTTAAGAGAAAGGGAGCTTATTTTCAAATTCACCTTCAAAATACATACATTTACATTTATATTTTTAACATACGATACATTTAAAAAATGTTGATTTATGACAATTTTACGACTTTGATTTGAACCAGCTTTATAACAATCTCTATTTTTTTTAAATATAGATTTGAAATTTAATTTTAATTATATAAGCTATGCAATTATATGTGGCGTTATATTTGATCTATATTTATGTGCATATATACATGTATAGATATTATGTAATAAAATACTTTGAAAATATCAGACAAATGTCTCTACGACCTTCCAGAAATGGATCGAATCTCGACTGAAAATCGAGTTAATATATGATCTGACACAATGTCATCAATTATTATTCAGTTTTGTTGTGTACCCAATTTCATTTCTATTATATTTTAATATAAATTTTTATATAAATGTATACATTACAGATTTACAAAGGATTTTGTGTTTAAAGTATCTCTTTTATATTAGCAAATTGAATGAAATGAATAGAATTTTATATCTCGCATATTTTTAAAATTTATTCTTGCGTGTGTTGATAAATCATTGTTTTCAGACAAAGTTAAACAATTTTAGATAACAAGATTTTTAAATCACACGCAACTACACATACACATACATACTTACACGTATTATGTATTATATTCTAATAAATTATATATTTGATATTCAAAATGATATTGAATTATACATAATAATATAATATGTAGTATAATATATTTTGTATATGAAAGAGTAAAGAGATTTATGTGCATATATAGTTTATTGTAGATTTATCTTCTTTTTTACGACATATTTCTCAGTGAATTTTATTTCAGAGCGCCGAGTAAATATAAAACAACAATCGTGTAAAACGAGCGACATTCTCTCGCATTGTCAATCAAGGCTACGACATAGAATAAACTTTAGTTCGAAACTGCCGAGGTCGTGGTGGACTCTATGCATTTCGACCTCGTTGACGATCGATAATTCAAACCGTATCGATAAGCGGAAGCGTCGCGCGCTGGAATGTAACGACGAGTGACGTCACGTGTTTGCCGTGTGCTCTCGTGTTCAAGTAATAAAGTAAAACGGCGTCATACAAAAGCGATCTATAATCGGCGCAAACCGCACGTTGGCCAGTTTATAGCTAAGACTCGTCGGACAATCAAGCGATTGCAAGCAACCCCCTGCAGGGCGAGGGTTGGTACTTGCCGAATAATCCTGCCATCATGGAATCATCGAAAAGTTGGCAACCCTGTCTACATGTAGATTCAACATGTAACCTCGTACCGTGACCCTCGTTAGGGGTTGAAAGTGCCGTATGCACCTCGGGCGTCTACATGATTGTTACTTTCTCTTTAAAAGAAAGGTAGGTTTTTGCGCATTTCTTGCCCAAAATTTACACAAATGAGAAGAATAAAAAATAAAGTATGTTTGTGCTCTTCTAATCCTGTAAACAAAATCAATGTTATTATCAATAATTCTATTTCTTATTTTGTAATTTTCTTCTTCAAATATTCTTAGAGAACGGTATTCTCTTTTTAAAAATGTTTATTTGACTTCTCACAAGGATTCACTTATACAATCTATTTTTTCATTAGAATATAATTTTTTAAGCGTTGAATTAATTATTCTTTTCTCATTTTACCTCACTTTATACTATAATTATACCATGCAGTTGTTAAAAAATAAACTGTCGATAAAAATGGCACATGTAATAACGAATGATTGTTGACAGTGGCAGAATCAGTAGTCGAATCCCAGTTTGTGCCACCCTTGGTCGTGCTGGGCTGCGTGCCGGCACGTGCGCGGTGCGCCGAGGCGCGCGTGTTACTCCTCCTGTCACAGACTCGTCCGTCGCGCCGCAGGACAACTTCCCTCTCTGGCCGTGGAAAAGACAGTGCCGATCGGAGCCGCCGCGTTCGTTCGGTTCTTTGGCAACAACGGCAATCAACGACAATCAACGACAATCATCCCCCCAGAAATCCCCTTTCTCCGACGCTCGGAAGCTCGAAAGATTATTCTCGCTTCTCGCACGAGAAGGAAGGATAACACGTGTATAAGAAGAGTCACCATTCACGAGTCACGGCGCTCGCGACACACGTGTCGATTTTCTACGCAAATATATACGAGGCGTGCATTATCGTCGTTATCGCTTGGCGAACGAAGCTGACAGGAAGTGCGGTCTCGGCCGTGGCTGATTTCCGCGCCGATTGCGACGGAGCTGACGTCGCGGAACCGATCGCGGTCGCCTGCTCACGAAAACACGACGAGCGAATCAATGTCACGTTGTGAGTCGGAACCGGGAGCGCCGACCAGCTAGCACACGACCTTTATCCTTCATCATCGTCCGGAGTCTTCTGCGACGTGTCCGGGGGAAGAAGTGACACACCGAGGACCAATCAGCCTCGGCATTCTTGAAGACGGATTCCTAGGAGCAACGTGCGAACCGGGAGCATCTGGGTTCTTCTTGCAACAGGTACGACTCCAAAATTTCGACCATTTATTTATATCTTGTAAAGGTATTTCAATTTTGATTTTGATTGTCAATATTGATTTGATGTTGATGTTAATTGGTGCAATTGTCAATTATCATATTCGATCGATATCGTGAATGAGTCGATTAATCTGTATCATAATAAGTATACTAATGAAATGTTTATTCGCGTCGATGAAGCTTCTTGTGTTAAATATTTTGATTCCTTTAACAAGTCACTTCTAGTCGTATTTCAAGGTCGATTCCGAGTTAACTTACTCGTGTCTGTGATACTAGAGTTTGTGTAATGGTCGAGCGTAAAGATTGAAATCGTTGTTTCGATCCATTTTATTCATGAAATTAGCACCGGTTCAGATAAACATTAAGTTGTTCCTCGGAAATCACTTCTTCACGTTTATAACACAGAGATAAGAAAACTTGAAAAATGTTGAGTATTTTTGCTCGCGAGAGACAATTTTTTTTGCACTTTTATCTTCTTTTGAGATAGAAAAGTTTATTTATAGGATTACTTATATGAGAAAACGACACGACATGCTGCGTGTGTGCATACATAAGGCGTGAAGATCGCAGAGCTTAGATACTTGGATAAGATAAACTATTCGCACTCCTGTAATATCGGTCGTTCTAATCTTTAATATACATACATATACTTCCATAGGATTACAAGATTGTGCCGAAACAGCATGACGAAACGATTTTTTTCGTGACTCACGTCACGCGATATATACACGCCAAGTCGTCGTTTGCAAAAAGAAACATCGTGCGAAGACTGACAATGTCTCGCTTCTCTTATTACGTTTGCAGTGAAGAAGATAATTAACGCTGAATAATCTCGGCGTGAAAGGAAACAATAGCTTTTCGGTCGCAGCATAGTGTGCGCTTTTGTGTGTGTTGTTCAATCTAATAATTCACGTTCTGACAATAGGATATTTGTTGTTTCTGCATTTACAATCATGATTATTCATCATCAATCGTGATTAATTATTAAGCGTTAATTAGTCATTATTGATATTGATTACTATCGAACTTTTATAATAAAAGCAAAATAACTATTCAAAATTTCAACTCACGATTCAATTGATTCGTGATTGTTACGATTGGATAAAAAATTGGATAGTTTAACTTTTTTATAAATTCATTGATGGAATTTTTAATGATCAGTATATTTTATTACGATATTTTTATAGATACTCATATGTCATTTTCATGTTTACGTATTGGTACGTCTATCAATTCTATACGAGTGTGTTTGCGCAAACAGAAAATGAAAAAAAAACACGAAATTGACATTAACAGTTGGAAAATATTTGGTTGTGCTTGCACTATGAATAACTTTTCCGTTTCAATTCGATATTTTCACGTTCTCGCGTTATTTGCCTTCAAATATCTGTCACACCCATTTTTCGTTTTATGCATCTTACAATTAGTAATATTCGCTAATTACATCGATTTCTTACCGGATATTTACACTGTCCTTTTTGATTGCGACGAAGTAACGGACTTTTTATGTCTCGAATTAACTCTTTGCCGGATATATATTTCTCTATTTCATGCTACTGTTTAATTAAGTCTTATGGTAAAAAAAAGAAGGAGGAAAAGAGTGCATCTTTTTTTGCGCTTGCTAAAGAACGAAGTGATTGCTCTTGTCCTATTTGTCCTCTGCTTGGTTCATTTTTTTGTTGGCTGCATTCTTTGTAGTCTAAAATATCAAGCTACGGATTAGCCTACTTTCCGCATTATTTCAGAGCTTTGGCGCTTCTGCACAAAGAATACACAAAGAACATATAATTGCATACGTACGTAATTATTCGCTCTGGCGTATAATATGCTCTCAGAAAAATATGATAACAAGCACTGTGCAAACGAATTTTCACGAGGATAGCTTACGTTATTAATAATAATTTTGCGTTATTAAAATTGAAAGTCCTCAATTATTTTTATGTTATTGAATAAAGGTTGTCGAAATGTGCAATAAGAAAATATGCAATATGTTTGCATGAAAATGGAGTAGTAAATTAAATGTATTATAATTTGTTTTCTATAAATCAAAGAAAATGATTCGCATATTCTGTATTAAAAAATATTTAAAAAGAGTAGTAGGAATTTTAAGGGCTTTTAATTGGGATTAATTGCGTCAATTTTCTTTTTATGTCAAATTTTTTTATTTTTTTTTAATTAAAAATTATGTTTGTTTTTGTAAAATCTCCGAATAAAACATACACTAAAACATGTTATTTTATTTGAAATAACTACTAAAATATTAAAATACTCATTAATCGACATAATCAAACATGAGTCAAACTAGGTGCACGCGATAAAGGGTGCAAAAAAGACAGAGTATCACGCGACTATATGAATATATGTATATATACGAGTACATATGTGTATTCATCAGTGATTTTTAAATATCTTTTTTTGTTTTTGAATCATTTTTGATAAGATTAAAAAAGAGGAAATACATATGTTGAATATTTTCTGTTATCAGTTCAAACTGTGTTGCATTCAAGTTCGAAAAATTTGCAATTAAAATGCAGCACGAAGAAACTATTTCTTGAACATAAATGTATAACGAGAATGTATATGATTTAAAAAATTTTAGACTACGATTATATAAATATCAGAACAACGAATGATTATAATAATGTTTGTCGTTCTTTCCATTTGATCAATCGTCATTGAAATTTCTCAAATCATTGTTACATGTTCGAATTGATTTCATTCTATTATATTTTGATCTTGCATTTACTCTTATGAGCCTTGAAAATTAAAGTAATTATAATATAAGATATTAATATTTTTCGAAGAAAGTGTAAATTAAACAATAAGTACTAAAATACATGAATTAAAGAGCACTTAAACTTTAAAAAAATATTTAAGACAAATGAATAAGAATGATAAAATAAAATAATAAAATCGATTATTCTCACATAATATTATAAAAGAAAATAAAATTATATAAAAATTTGCTTCTCATTGTTTTTAAATTAATTTAAATCATTGTATTATATAGGCATTGACAAATTTGAATATTTTTTTTTAATATTAGCATATCAATTCACTTGCATTGAAATCTTTTCTGTGTCTTTCTTTCTCTTTCTTTCTTTCTTATTAAATCCGATATAATACTCGAAATTTAACATTATTATGTCCGACAAGATGATTCACGTTGTATTTTTTAACATCTTATCTACCTTTCATCAAATTATAAAAAAAGAAAACTAAGTGACGTTCCAAGTAAAAGAGAAAAAGAAAGAGAAGAGGAAGAAAAAGAGAATTATATAGTACACTATTACATTATTTTATACATATTATAATAAATGACATTGATATACGAATTAAAATAAAAAAAAAATATTTTTGTATTTTAAATTATTATTTGACATTATTTTACGCGTAAAAGGTGCCTCATGACGCCAAATGAAAATGAGGAAAATGTCAGTGGAACCTTTCGCCATTGACTAAAATAGTTAAACATAGCACGTCACGAATATTGTCACGAAAGAGATAGCTTGTGGATCTTTATCTCGCAAATAGAGCTCGGAATTTTCCAATGACCTAACAATTGAAACAGTTTAAACTTCGAGCTTGAATTTTAAATTGTAATTTTCCAATGACCTAACAATTGAAACAGTTTGAACTTTAAGCTCGAATTTTAAATTATTTAAATCTTTTATAAACTTGGAAGTTATAATAGTTTGAATTTAAATTTATATCAAATAGCATAATAAATTAGGTAATGTTTATTCTAAGAAGAAAATGAATCAAAATAGATTATTTTGTATTATTTTTGTTTAAATTTTTTTATGTCTGAACAGTTCTAACTTTGAATATATTGGGAAACAATCAAATAATTAATTTTATAAATAAATTCCGAATTTCTGATTAAATTGCATAGAATTTCTGACTAAATTGCATGAATATTAATATGCAATGAATATTAATATACAATATAGTGAAAAGAACTTAAACTAGAAAAAATTGTTCATAAAATTGAGAATTATTTTATTATTTCTATTTCGATTTATTAATTAGAAAGATTAATATTCAGTTTTATTAACATATACATTTTTCTCGATAATAACAAACAATTACATTTTTAAGTGGCCTTAAATCCTTTTGATACTGGATCTTTAGTAAGAAACAATCTTTTCCACAAAGTTAAACGCAGTTTTTTAATTAAAACACTGTAGAATGAACGGCTTACGAAAATATTAAGAATAATCGGATAGTCAAAGCTATTGAGTAACAAGTGCTATAAGCGACAACTTTTACGCAGGTTGTATTATAACAGCGGATCAATTCATGTATTAAAAATTAAATTCTTTTGGCGCAGTTGTTAGCAGCAGTTACCTTATTCGTAAAAAGCAGTAGAAATTGCTGATATGTTGTTCAATAAATTTTTTAAAATTAATTTTTCTGTAATTATGATAAAATGTTTTCTTCAGCATCGTATCATTAAGTTCTTTTTAACACGCAAGTGCTTTTAACACGATGCCCTTTGAAGATATCATTTTTTGCCAGACAAATTTTAATCAACGATTTCTAAATTATACATTTCATAAATTATATTTCGCACGATAGTTACATTTCATATTATTTCTTTTCATTTTTCGTAAAACTATATTATATTTTCTAACATCTGTTAAGTTACATTCAATTACATTGCATTTGCATCTCTATAATTAATTTAAAATAAAGTAAATATAAAAGAATTTAAAAATATTAAAGTCAATAAGTCCAATCATTGAATCAAAATCAATTTTTTTATAAGTTAAATTTGATACAAAAAAAAAACAAATTTAATTCTACATTTTTCACTTATATTCACACATGGAAAAATTTATTAACTATTTTTGAGAGAAGCTAATATTGAAGTTAAAATTGAAATAAATGAAATAAATAAATGAAGAATAATATGTTTATATATGAAAATATAAGTTTTCATTATTGCGAAAATATATTTGATATTTATCAAAAAGTATATTTATCGAAAACGATGGTACAACCGTGCAATTTCTACACATGTACATTTATTTAAATTAATGTATGTGAGTGTATGATAAATTATTGAACTCTCTACCAGATATTTTTTTATGAATATTTTTTATGGATAGAGAGGAGGGATATGACCGAGATTAAAGGTTGTGGGCAATGCCGTTTCGTTTCCAGAAATTTTCCAAAGGCACTTTGATAAATAGCTTCTGTCGAACGGGCAAAGAAAGACCACACTAGCCTACGTCCGCTGAAAATGATTTATGTAAGCAATGAGTCTCGCATCAATCTATAAATTTTCATTTAATCAAACAAGAGAGACTTGCAAGTTGTTATTTTCAATAATTGAACATTACACCTTCATATCGTTACATTCATTTTAATTCAATGCAACCATATAGGAATTGTGTGAATATATTATTTTAGCGTCAATATTAAAAATAATATATTAATTATATATTAAGAAAGTATACATAAAAAAATTTTTACAATAATATTATATTTTAACGAAATCGAAAGAGAATATCAATTTGTTTACATGTCTTTTTAGCAAAAGATAAAAAGAATGTTTTCTATGTGTGAGTATGTGTACAATATAAATTTTGTAAAAAATAAATGAAATTTTTTTAAAGTGAACGAATTAAAAAAAGAAAATAAAAATCTAGATTCTACAATTTCTAATTAAGTAAGGTTTTTCTCTTAGAATTCACGTAAAAGATGCTAAAAATTAGTAATTTTTATATATTTGTATTATATGCGAACAATATAATTAATTTAGAATTTTAAGGATTAAAAAAATTACTAGTTCGAGTTATTACAGAGTAATAAATGAAAACTGTGATTTGCTTGCTTTGAAACAATTACCGCGATATTGCTCGCGTATTCCCCTACTGTATGTTGAAGTATTCATATTTTCCGCAGTAATCAGCAACTCGTTCACGACGACAGCGTAGGAGGAGAAAGTTGTGAAAAAAAAGGAGGAAAAAAAATAAGTATCAGGTATATACGACGTGATAACGTCGGGGTTAGGAAACACAATCGAGTCGCGAATCGCATGTCTATATGACAACTATATAATTCTTGCGAACTAGACCCACTAACCGAGACACGTCGGCTATCGATCTACGATATTACACGCATGTATGTATGCCATAAGCAAACATACGGGATACGTGCGCACTTAATGATTGCATATGTATACGTAATGCAGACGGGAAACAGAAAATATATGACGTTTCTATATAACACAGATTGAGAAAACTGCATAATTAATCAACGAGAGAGACGCGTTAAGATAACGCTGATTCGAACAGGATTAATCGAAAAAAAATTTTAAACAAAAATCTGTACATTTATTGAAGAATTAATTATTCTCAATTTTAAATTAATCTTTTTTTAAGAAATGAAGATTAAATTACAAAGTGTGGAAAATTTATAAAATTATATAATATAATTATTATAGTCCTTTCGAAGAAAAAAATAAAAAATTTCAAGTTTATTGTTATTAATATTCCTCGCTGTTTGTTACTTTGGCAACAACCCCTCAAACAATACCATATTCTGTTACGAACAGGCGGAGTACATCGACCACGAAATTTGAGCACAAGTAAAGTTAGATAAATGACGAATCACGCGATTTATGCCAAAAGGATGTTTCTTTGTTCTCTTGTGTTCATTGTAATGCAGACACAGAGAAAATTAATTATGATATTTTATTGTTCAGCAGCTATTGTGTGAAATTAATTTCTCAATTTTTAAAGCAGCGTGGATACATTCACGACGTCGATCGATTACTAGGATATTTCTAACTTAATCGCGGTTATATAAAATGAGACATAGAAAGTTATTATGAATCATTAAATGTTCTTTCTATTTCACTAAACTTTAATAGGAACAAAAATCCAATTTTTAAAGTAATTATATAATCTAATAATTATATAAACTAATTTATTTAATTATAAAAAATGATTTTTATTGTTATTCTTTTTGAAACAACGCGACACTGTTTCTAGCAAAAATGTCATATAATATCGGTAAATATGTATTGCTTGAAAATATTATTATTTTTATTCTAAACTTTGAAAATTTGTATCTTGTAAAGTTAATATAATATTTTGCATATCGAGATTCAATTAATTAAAAATTTCTCTTGCGTATTTGTATATTATTTCACTTGCAATAAATCTTGTTCTTAGCAGAAGAGTAAAAACGACAATCGACCAGGCCCTACTGACGCAAGTTGGCGAATTGCCCGATCTTGGTGATCTGGGCATGGTCTTAATTGCGACGGCGGGGCGATGACGCTCAATCACCGTCCATCATTATCAGCAGGGGTCCCTCAGGACTCGCCCAGCTTCCTGCTCCCGGTTTCGGTCCCGAATCTAATCTCTGACAACGATTCTCGCTATCTAGCGAGGAACGTCGTGAAAACGCGCGCGACTGTTGCAGTCAGGAGGCGGTATGAGAGACCGTTCTCATCATTACCGAGATCATCACGGACACGCCATGCCCCTGGAGGAGGTTCAGGGATTATTACTTCCACCCTCCAGGACAGGTGAGTTTCACTTCTTTTCTATCTATCATTATTAATACAGAGATAAGAAATCATTCGTAACTTGTGCGCCAGGTTTATTTCCAATTATAACTAAAGAATGAAATATATGTTATTGTACAGCGAAACAGGTTGAAATGTCTTGTTTATGTTCTTCTTATTTTTGAACGAAAAGACGGTATTTACAGAAAAAGAGAAAATATAACTGTAAGACAATTTAAACGATTTCTTTGTTTATTTTCATATCAGTGTCGATATAAGAAACACATACAAAAATATCGAATTTTCAGATATTAACATAAATGTATAATAAGAAGTGTACACAATACAAGATCAGTCGTCAATAAACGAGCGTGCAGACAAAATCATAAATAATTTTCATAAGAAAGAGATTAGCAGGAAATTGTTTTATTTTGTTGTAGCAATTTATTTATTATATTATCGCGTATGTTTTCTCTTTAATACTAATTCGATGCATTTTTTCCCCTAAAATTTGTATATATTTTTTTTTCAAGCAACAATAACCAAAATGTATTATTCGATTTCGAGAAAATCAATTCGAAATATACCGTACAAACATCTCGTGCGTATATTTTTTCCTCTTGCATGTGCGACCATTGTTTGATGTTGATGTGGATGCGTGTTTTTTGTCAGGGACGAATCAAAGAAGGATATTTATCATTGGACTTGTCAGATTGTAGTTCTATATGATGAATGTACGAACATGTCGGCTGTTTCTTTTATACAGTAGTGAACATTTCCTTTTGTAGGAATCTGAGAGAATATAAAGAATGTAATTTTTCATCTCGCTTTATTTCTTTTTTGCTAATATTTACTCGTTCACTAATATAAGGTTTATTCTTTTTTTTATTTTTTACAATAGTATTGTTATATTCAGATACGCAAATTATATATGTGCACAGGCATGATATAAAAAAAATGTAAATATACGTAATTTTAATTTACGAAACTTGAGTTAACAGAAAACAGAGTTGAGTACTTTGCGCTTTATTATTTGAAAGGATAATTTCAGCCCTCTTGTTTAAAGTTAGGACCCTTTTATTACACTCCCTTCAATTATATTTTTTTAATTTTATTAAACTTCAGATCTCAAACTGTAAGATACTTTACGTAATATCTTGCACACCGCCAACCGCACTGTTTTTTAATGTTCGTTTAAAAAAAAGAAACTCTTATCCGAGTGTACATCGATATTACTTATGGAAAGCAATTTTTTGTCGTTTAGAGATAAACTGTTTTGCAATTTAAATGCAATTCGATTTTTAATCGTACCTGTACGTATACATTGTTTATTACGTGTATCATCAAAATACTATATCCGCTTTATTGGAGGGCGCAGAGGTTAGTCTTGCGACCAGTGGAGGATTACGAACAGATTACCAGTCGTGTACGTGCGAGAGTTGAAGCGTGAATGTGTACATTCAATGCCTCGAAATAACTCTCTTTCTCTCTTGATTCACCTCTTATTAAATTCTCATGAAAATCCAACCTGAATTCCGACGACGGAAAACGCGCTTATATATAATTCGTGTAGAAACTCTAGCTTTACGAGTATTGGCCCGTGAATCGTAAAACTTCAACGTTTCTCTTTATTACTGTAACCGTACATGCGTGAAGATCAGCAATGAAGCAGTAGTTTACGACACCCCAGATGAATGTTCATCTGACAGAAGGATACATATCCAGTTTTTATGAAGAGGCGCTTTAGGGACACAGGCGAACTAGAGTCGTATTCTAAATATTCAAATTTCTTACACACCCCCAACTTGTTTTCAACTAGATAACGTTGTTCTATGAGAGAATAAAATTTAAAATATGTTAAGTTTAATGATACAATATGTGCATATGTGCATAACACAAAATTGATTTAAAATTAATGAAAAGAATCTTTATGAAAATTATACAATTGACATGTGATTTTTGTTCTATTTACATGGTTTTATATATGTATATAATTGTTTGTGTCCGCCTTTGATAAAAATTTTCATCATTTTTTATCTCAAAAAAAATGGTATATTTAGTTTTGTTTTGTTGTCAGAAAGTGTGATATTTTTTCTCGAAATGAATTTACTTTGATATTTTTATGATACAATTTTCTAGAGTTTTTGAAATATATATAATCTAAAATGAAATATACAAAAATGTGATACTGCGGTAAATTCGGCATAATTGTTTATTATCGAATCTGTCAATTTTATATAATAATTACACGATACGTTCTCACACACACAATTTAATTTAATGACATGCTAATATCTTCTATAATTCGTAAACGGGACACCCCGGCCGCAAATTGCATGAATAAATTTTCTTCCGTATTAAAACTTCCGCCATCCTTACGTGCCGTAGGGTGAATAGTTATAAATCAATAAACGTTGCATTGGCCGATCGTATATCGAATTATCACGCGAACGAATCGTGGCCAACCGAGGAGACGATTTTATACTTCCGTCCGTTCCGTAAAATAAATTCAATTTTAACTCGACTCATTTGAGGATGAGGCAAATGACACGGGAGTTAATTACCACTTAGTAACATCCCTGCGAAGTGGTGATTCCTATCCTTTTCCATCACCCTTTTCGGAGGCCTCTCTCAGCACGATTATTATTTCTTAATGATAATTTTGCACAACAAGGTGGCTGACGAGGCTGACGAGCACGCGATATTGTACATGTAATTAGTAGAAAAGGTAATTAACATAACTAACGAAATGTATTCTGATTAGCTTTTCATTTTTTACGGATTGCAAATTTTAAATTAAGAACAGCATAAATGAGCTTTTTGTAAAAATATTATTAAATGGTTTTATTAATTGTGTTATTTGTTTTACTCTCGAGTAATTTGAGCTAAAAATAATTCTCTTTACACATTCAATTGCAGTTAAAACTATTAGTAAAAAATATTCGGATCAATTAAATGCCCCAGCATGTTTATTACATTTATATCAACATATCGCGTGTATTGTAAATCATAGATTATATAAGATACTTGTACATAACATAAGAAAAACTCATTTATAAAATTAATGTTTGTTTTTAGATTTGCGGTTAATTATTTATTTCATAATTTTATATTATATATATATAGACAGGTATACAGAAAGCAATCTTTTAATTAAAAGATGCTTTATGAGCGATTACGATTCTCTGTTTTTATAAAGCTGCGTGGGCGTATTAAGAGAACGCTTTTATATGATTTTCATTTTCTCGCTAACGAATTGACTGATTCTCTTTCGCCCAATTACAATTCGCCCTTCAATTTCGTTATGAAGAAACGGCGGGGACTTAATTACCTCTTCCCGCGTTTATTCGGTCATTATTTTTAACGAGCCGGTTCACCATAGTCTCTCTCTCTCTCTTTCTCTTTTTGTTTTACGGTAGGTAACCGGGGACCTCTGAATGTGACGATTGTACAGGTCGGTAGAGGAAATGGAAGCGGTGGAGATGGCGGAAGTGATTTACTGAGATTGGAGCCGCCGTCGGATTTAAGACCGTCGCCCCTATCTGACACCAGTACTACCTTGCAGTCTGACAACAATGACACCTTGACCGGAGGTGAGAGATATACGCCGATATTACTCGTTTCAAAAATTGCCGAGATATTTGTCTCAAGTACATACATATGTATTTAGTTTTCATTCTTTACAACTTTAACGAGCATTCATTGCAGTCATATATTGGATAAATAGGATATCGATAAAAGTCGTATAAATTTTTCTCTTTCACTACATATCGAGATAAATTTATTTCGTATAATAGATTTTATTGGATAAACACATCGATTTCGTAAATAGACTTTCACAAATATAAATACCTAATAATAAATTGAAAAAATTATAAATATCGAATTACGTATATACCACAATAGCACATTAATCGTTATTTCGGGAACTATCAGTATGTATTATTTAAGTATTGATGATTGAGCTTCGTTCACTTTCGGTGTGTAATAGGTTGTGTGTCGTAGGTTGTGTGTCATATCCTGTAATCGGAAACGTTTTAGCAAGAAGTTTTCGGTTACAGTCAGTTTGCCAAAGATCGATGAAAGTAAAAACAAGTCAAAGTGCATTAAGAATAGATAGGAAAAAGGCGTTACGTTAATGCCCTATTTTTAATGCATTTTAATGTAATCGATATATATAAAATTATTTCTTTGATTTTATAAATTACATAAATTTATCGTTACAGCTTTGCATTTTATATTCGAAAGTTTTAATGGAGTTTTATGAAGTTTAGGAAACAATAATTTGCATACGATAATTCAATCGGAAGATTCCTCCTATTTTTAATATAAAGGAAGAAAAGAAGATTAATGAGAGCCAAATGCGCAAAACTGTGTGTGTGTGTGTGTTAAGTGGTTGCTATCTTAACACGAAGTAAAATTGCAACATTGATAAATCTCCAGGTGTTGACCCAAGACTGTTGCTGGGAACCGGTGGTGATCGCACCTGGGAAGGTCGTTACCACGTGAAGGAACATCGACGTGCTGGAAAAGCTACTTTTCAAGGTCAAGTTTACAACTTTCTGGAACGTCCCACCGGTTGGAAGTGCTTCCTGTACCACTTCTCTGTGTAAGTAATGACGATATTCATTATATGCATGCGGTTTTTGGCACGGCTTTCTAGTAGAGTACTTAATACATTATTCATGCCTTTGATGTATAATGTTATCAAAGACGAAATATTCATAATGGATATCGAAAATAGCGTCCTTCATTTCTTATGGTGGTGTGCTTTATTTCTTAACTATTAACATTGCATAGGATGTTTACAGTTGCAAATAGGAGATTTAATATAAAAAATAAAATAAGTCCGCGGGATCACGTACCTTATTCATTCGCCTTATCAATCGCTCGCAACGCTCGATACATCAAAAAGGAATTAACACATTTGATGGCTCTCTACAATATCAATCTTTATTGTCACTTAATAAACATTATTAATACACTGCAAAAAGATTGATGGGAGTTCCAAAATTTCTCTCTACCTCAGATCTGTTTCTGAGTAGTGATTAATATATGTATATAAATTATTTAAAAGGAAGACGGATACTTTGCCATAATTCATAAACTAATCTTATTGTTAGCCTAATAATTAATAAACAAGATTTCCTCTCAAATGACAATTTAGAAGATAAAAGATTACGGGAGATTTGCCTTTAAAACCGAGTGGAAATAAATCGAAGAACTCGAAGAAGAATGGTTTTGATAAAATATACAGTTATTTATGTACTTTCGCATTTCTGTTGCATAACTCGAAGCTTGCAGAAAGAAGAAGTTACGAGATCGTAACTTCTTAAAGTTTGCTATGAGAAATCTATACATTTCCGAATGATATTTTCTTGGATCGTAATTTATGGTTAGTATAATGGATGTTATAGGAAACGCAATTGTTTATTAGAAATTTATATGACGAAACGAAATAACCATCTGTATACGAAGCGTTTTATGCTTTCCCCAGAGTATTTCTTCAATTTCCTATGTCAATAAATAATAAAGGTTTATCACACTATACATAGACACAATACGCGATCGTTTATCAGAGTTTATCGTAAAAACTTGATGAAAGAAGTTACGATATGGAATTTTATATATGTAGGAAATAATACATTATGCAGACATATTTTTTAAATTGAATTTAAAGTGCTTGTATAATGTATTATTTTAATACAGTATTAATTAAATACAGCATTATTATGATAATATCGAATTTGATACATAATTATGACAGTACTATCTTTCTCTAAAATACACATTTATAATTAGAAATGTGTATTTTTTAACAATTAATTGCTTTACATTTTTTATCGCTCATAAAACATTATTTGAATTAATCGATGATTTTTCAAAATTTTGCAGCTGTTTGTGTTGAAGATATCTTCTAGATTTTCAAATAATTTCATAATATATAACGAGTACAATTTTTTTTGAATATTTCTATTAAGCGATGTACTTTTTACAAAATACAGATATACACAAGAAGATAAAGAAATATAATAAATTACTTTTATTATTCATTATTTTCAGGACATATTTATTAAACATTAGGCATTTATACGAGCCAGTTTTCTAGCTCGCCTAGCTTAAGTTTGATGCGCATAGATGGCGGACCACATATTAGTATTAACTACTTGAGGTCTGATCAATATTCTCTTTCTACCATTTATCCAGAGTGAATTTATGCAGGAACCTGTATACCTAAAGTATGCAGCTTTTATTGTAAATTTTCAACATTCTACACAAGAATTTTGTGCTCTCGAGCTGCGAAATTATTATTAAAAATCGCATGTAAGAGATATTAAAAGAAAAAAAAACAGAAAATGCTTTTTGAATTATTAAATATTTTGGCCGATTTAAAATCGATTTTTTTCTTAGCAAACTTTAATCATATAACTTTTCAATTTTCACTATTATATGCATCTTTGTAATTCTTATTAAAATTTTGCTTACCTGAAACTGTCTAACATAAATATTGTTCATAACACTTGCTTTTATTTCGTTGAAATTGAATCCAGAGGAAAAATACTTAAGTACTTTAATAGACAATTATTCGGAAACTATTACTTTTTTAAAAAATATTGATTTTAAAATAATAATCAAGAAATAGATATATGTGATAATCGAATTAGCCTTAATTTAATCTGGTTGTTTTAGGATACTTTATATTTTACTGTGATAGAATTTGCAAATATGCAACATAAGTGTAATATATAAAAAGTAAACATTTATGTTACATATATTAATATTATCTAAATTGGTAATTCATGTGATAACAAAATGCAAAAAAATATGTGAACACGTTGTTTAGGATATTGATTATTGGTTTACATAATTCACGCAAAATTATGACATTCGATTTTATCGGTTCGGATATTTTGCTAGTAGCAAAATGTAGATAGAAGATTCGCGTTATCACGAGGATCCTCGACATTATCCTTCTTACATTAGATCAAGCGATATATTGACACGGAAATGGAGGGGAATGAGAAGTGGACACTGATATCAGGGTCCTTTGGAGGGTCACGTTACTGTCGGTGAAAGAAAATATACGAGGGTTTCTGTGCCAGGTGATATTCTACCGTAAACCCTCAGCATTAAATAACATCTGTAGGATATGCGTGGGCCAGGAATAAATTTGGCATTACGCAGTTGTATCCAGATACTTTGTCAGGTCAGCAGGTTAGCATGTAGGTCACATCTAAACCTGCTGCTTTGTACACTAGAGATCATTATTCCTCGGGATATCATGGCACGAGGAAGGAGAGATTAGCGTGTCTAGTATATTCACAGAGTGGGGTTATTAGTGTTGCTAATACTGTATAATACTCCGTATTATATTTATCTTTAGACTTGTGTTATAGAGTAATTCATAGAAATTAATAATTTATTAAACTTAAACAAATACTGCAGCTAATATATATCTAGAACTAATAAATCGATATCGATATCTAATAAATCGTTTATTATAAAATAAAATAAATTTAAAATATTTAGGAAATGTTTACACTAATCGTGAAAATTTTGAATAAAATATATGTTCGTGGATTTTTTTTTCATAAATTACGAAATTAAATCACGAGAAATTAAAATTTTTCGTGTTATAATTAGTTTATCAAACAAGATATTATAAAGAAGATATGATTTATTTCTTACGAGACATTTTAAGATCTATCTATTGAACATAAGACATGTTTTATTAAAGCAAACTTGTTACAATAACATGGATATGTTTTGTCGTGGGTTTCCAATATATAATGGAACACCCATGAACTTGATAAAATGTTATAAGCAATAAATAATATTATGATATCGATGAAACACATAATACTTGGCACGATTGTGCTACCATCGATATCATAATTTTATTCGAGAAATAGTTTAAAAATATGTATTGCAAGACATAAATAATTTGGTTGATGAGAGAGATTCCGAGTGTTTTTTTAAAAGATTATTTAATATTGAACTTGCAGATTTATTACAAATATTAATAAAACTTTCATTTCTTATAATATTACATAAATTAAATATAATAATTTATAATTTTGTAGGTAATGCAAAGCTTGTACACATTGAAAGTAAAACTTCTATAAAACTTCCATAAAAGTTATCAAAACTTGTTTAACTCTCTATAAAAAGCTCCGTTATTATTGACAAAGAAAAATTCTCTATGTAGAAGTTATCATTGTTTGAACGCACTTTGAAAAATAAAGCCTTGCGTTTGCCAACTCCATAGCAACTGAATTATTGATGTAACATAGCCTACGTTACACCTGCAGCACGTGCTGCAAATCGAGTGCAGGGAAGGGGGATAACTTTGCGAGAAAAGTAGAATTATCCCTTGCATACGTACACAATAACTACAACGAACTCGATGTTATTGCTACAGTTCCATGAATAGAATTAAAATAGATACACTGGAGATTTCCGACACGATTCTTTTACACGCGTCCGTGTAACTTTCTTTCGAACAATAAAAGAGCGGTTTGGATTTTTATGACTTATAAGTTTGACAATAATTTGAAGTAGCAGCGTTTTCATGTCTTTCATGCTAATTTTACAAGAAAAGAAATTAAAATTATTTATGATATAAAATAATAAGTTCTTTTAAATTGAAACGAAAAAATACAATAAGAAAAAAGTGAAATTATGCGATACAATGCTGTAAAAGTTTAAAATCTCGTCTTTGCAGAATATTATATAAAGTGAGTGAAAAATTTTATTTGGTTGTTGAAGTAATTCTCTATAGAAACAATAATATTTTATTAACACAGATTTTATAAGTAGCGTTTTATGTAAATGTTGTATACGGATAATATTTTTATTCCTTCTAAGTTGAACAAATTTCGCATTACGCTACGCGACATCTTAAAGAATATAAAATTTTCTTTATCATATTCTCGTTGTTAAATATGCGACATTAAAACGAAGGATGATTTTTTCATGTCATTCTATCATGGTACGCATTTCCTTTGACTGTTGACTTGTAGAATATACTGTTAGCTCGAAATGTCCCACGCGAGCACGAAACGTATATGGTAATTTCAATAATTCAAGCTAACTGTCCTAATCCATGAGTTCATTCCTTTCCCTTTACTCCTTTATATATCTTTATATCTTAGAAACGAGAATGGAAGAGCTCCCGCGTGGTATTTCTTCATCTGACTCGCTTATGGCAAATTATGCCATTTGTATATTCAGGAGCCAAAAGTGAATAAATTTATCGTTAATCTCGACAAGAAAAGTTTTCACGAGACATCGAATACGCAGTTAGTGAATAATGTAGATTTATATATGATCACGGGAATCGGTCTCACTTCGATGCTAAAGATGAGAAAGAAACAAGATCGCTGATGAGCTAGCTACCCCGAGGGACACGCGACGTGGTAGGCCAGTCTAATATCGATTTTCTCGCTTTTATAATGCCACATAGATAGGCATGAAACCTCTGTACGAGAATGAGTCGTGTATTATTTGGACGAATCTCCTCCCCGTACGCTCGCACTCTATATCGCCGCTGAATACCGAATCCGACGACTATTTTTTTTCTGTGGCAGTGCGATGGAAAAAATAGAAGTCC